CCTACAGATTCTCTAACGTCTATACTTACGATGCTGGCTACACAGGAAAGTAGAAGAATAGACTGCATATCTTACGAGTTTGGGGCTTCTGTAGTTGATCTGATCTCTGTTTCATGTACCTTTCAGTCAAATAACTTATTTTTAGAATCTGCATGGAGCGGGATTCAAATAAGTGCTTACATTTAAAAAAAAAATTACTAAAGAATTATTTTGATTTAGATTAAGTTCTCTGTGGAATAATATCTAAGAACCTGATGGTGATCATAGTGCTCATTTTGCCTCTGTACTTCTGCTGAATTCAATGGAGTTTGGCCTTCCAGAGAAGTCTGAACATCTGACCATGCTGAAGAAAGAGGAACTCACACTGTTTGTGTGAGAAATGTGCACTCAGAAGATAGTCTCCCTTTTTGTTTTTATGCATTCATTAAGCTTTTTAAAGCTAGTGTTGGCTATTTGATAGCTAGGCTGATGGCTGTTTATAACCTTATAAGTAGTTCTGAATATGAAGCAATTATTAGGAATATCTTCAGCTACCTTATTTATCTTAGTTGATTGTTAAGACATTCAGTGGGTTATACTTAACTTCTTATGCGTGGGTGCCTTAACTTTCTATGCTCTACTTGACACATTCTTTCAAATTCATTATTCTTGCATTTAAATACTATATTATAATTTCTAAGAATATTTATTGTCTGAGAGCTGTTAGGTGATGGAAGGATTGCAATGAATCAGAAAAACTTGCCTTAGAGGGTGGGTTTTTTTGTTGTTTGTTTTTGTTTTTTTCCCCTCATCATTTTTTGCCTTAATGCAACAAGGCCATTCATTACTATTTTCATATAACGCTCGTGTATTTTTTTTCTTACTTTGGCCTCTATTAGGAGAGGAATTGCTGGAGAACCATTACACAAAACAAAGAAATACTTGTCCTAAGAGATTAATTCAGTTTGTCTGTGGTGTTTGAAGAAGACATCATACATAAATATTTCACATATTCCACAGTGCTGTCTCCGTTTGCTGTAGCGAGAATATTTAATCTGTCGGGAACTTGCCAAAAACCTGAAAGCTCTGACAACACCAACCATCTACATGGCACTTCTGTGTGTTCATGAATGACCTATTTATTAAAAGTATCACTTCTCTGAGAACTTTGAGATGTTTTATCCTTTCTTTTAATGACTTTTCCTGATTTTATCCTGGTATGGTTTTGTCCCCAAAATAGGGCAGATAGAGCTGTTCTTAATTAAAAATGAATATCCAGCATAATGCCGCAGGTCATTATATTTGGCGTAGAAGGCAAAAGAGTCGTACATTTCAGTGTCACATTAACACTGTGCTTTTCTATCACTAAGAAATGGGTAGGATTTCCAAAGAGCAACACAACTGAGGATAATCTTAGAAAAAGGTACCAAGTTACATATGAAACATTAACTGAAAATAGATGCTTTTGGTGTTTGGTATTATATAGGAAAATGTGTGTTAAGTACCTGGAATCAAATTACTTAAGTTACTTACTGAGTTACTTAACAATCATTTAAAAAAAAAAAAATCAATTCCAGTTGTTGAGATGGGATATAGGTGCCATCATCAAGGTAATTCTGAATATATTAAAATCATTAAAACCAAAAATAAAAGGCTAATTTATTACTTATGCTTTTTGTTGTCTTTACAGTTATATTAAAAGAACACTAATAATTTGGGTGCAACTGTGAGATAACAATGCTTTTTAAACATCTAGAACTTATATTAAGATTTGTGGCCTGTGATTTTTGCCATGGACGTTAAATGTGTAGTATAAACAAATCATAGTGATGTACCATGGAAAACAATGGTATGCATTCTTAAAGCTTCAAGAAAACCCAACTGGTTTGAACCCAGGAGACTAATAATGGTCCATAGGGTCCCATTTTGCTCGTATTCATGGACATTTCTACCTCTACAGACTCGATCACTCTTACTGAACTGCCTGGTTTCCTGAGCTGTGTGCAGTAACTCATTTGCTAGACTGTTGCTTGCCTAGAAATAGTGCAGGCATATTTTGGATGCCTCAAGGCAGGCGTATGGAGTTTATGTTCTGCGTACCAGCAACACTGTACAGCACCCATGGCACAGACCAGAACCTGCTGTTCCCATCCTGCTGCTGCGTGTTTTAAATCACTTCTGGGTAGTTCAAAGAACTGCAGATTTCTGCTGTAGGAAAGAGTATTTTCTACATGTGTTGTATTGATCTAACTTGGCAAAATGTTCTTCCTTTAGAAGCAGTGATTCAGTTTTCTTTGGCGGCTTCTTTTCTCTTATGTAAAATTTATCCACTTCTCTGGATTTTACTTGAAGTATGTTGTGTTAAGTAGAAAGCCCGTGCAAATTTTGCTTACCTAATCCAGCATAAGCTTTATTTTTTATTAGTTTTTGGAAGTGAAAGTTGACCTTTTATTTATTTATTTTTCTAAGAAAACAAGCAACTTTGAGATATATTTTCCGTGGTAGTCGATAGGGGGAAATTCACTCCAGTGTCATTTGTGTGGTAATATCTGAGACGACATGACCTGACTTTTGTCCTGTTCTCTAAACAGAATACCTCATTGTTTCAAGGGGCAGCTCAGCAGGTGCTTTTGTGCGTTCCTGTAAATGGAGCCTGGGCAAATGGAGCCTGGGCAATACAGAGGCAATTCCAGACATTTCATCTCCAAACAGTGTTAAATACCTGGTTGTCAACTAGTAGAGAGAAAGGTTAAGAACTTCAGTTTTGTCTTACTGTCAATGTCACTGAGCAGATTCTTTTATCCTAGTAACTAATTTTTTTTAGATAAGTCCTTTTTCAGTTAGGAACCTAGATGTCTTCCAGCACAGATTTGTGCTTTTACTTCCCACATCAATGTTGTAGTAAGATTGTATAACTCTTTAACTTTTCCAAAACCGTAGATATCTCTTTCCGGGTAACTAAACTGTATTGTGACTCCACAATTGTATGTGTGTGACTGATCTTGCCATATGATTTTAGAAAGCAATAGCATAATTAACTTGTTTTGATTTACTTGATACTCCAGTGTTGCACAAGTTTATTTTCCATTAGACTTCTGCTTCTGATCAATCTAAAGATAACATGTAAAATTCTATTATTTGTAGTAGCTTTCAAAAATCTTACTTTGAGTTTTCCTGTATGTCATTTTTATGCATTTTATCACTTTTGTATGGCTTTTAATTTGGGGGTGAGGTGGATTTATTTTAGTCTTTGTAGTTTTCAAGTACAGAGTTTACTTTTATGTTGTTCCAAAATGGTAGAGTGACCATCCATTTCGTTTATATATTTCTGTATTTTATACTTAAAATGCACTTATGGTACTGAAAGAATGCTTTCTAAATCTTAAGCATACTAACCAATTCATGTTTTTTTGAAATGTCTTATCAGCATTAAAGAAAAACTCCTCATATCTTATTTAGGAATTTAAATTTTATTTCCATTCCACTAACAGTAAAACAGAGGAGGACACAGCAAACTGGCTTTTAAATTGCAGGCTGAGAGTAAGAGAAACTGATCTCAGTCTTTCTCTTGGTCCTACAAAAAAACAAGGAGTAAAAGAAATTGAAAGACTGAGTCCTTAATAAATAAATAATTACCTGAAATAACATAGTTAATTTTTAAGAGGATTGGAAATAATTAGGTGTGCTTTTCATATCTTTCATCCTTTTTCCTGTAATATAGACAGGCTTTTTGGTGATCCTAGCTGTAGCCCTCCCACTCTCACACTCCCCACAGCTACAGTGTAGGTTTCATGAACAGATAAAGTCACTGTTGAAACTGGATGTACTATTTTTAAAACACTGAATTTTACTCTTAAAAAAAAAGTTGTTTTTTATTTTTGTTTCTTATTTTATTGGTATTAAGTTTTTAAAATTTATTTTGAAAATAATTGCCATATGCCATTTGGCCATTTCATTTTGAATAATATAGGAGTGCTAGTATATTTAAAGTAGTGAGATAAGCATGGCTCTTTTTCCCACAGGCTGATTTCAGATATTCTTTCTTGAACTCTTAAATAAGTGATCCAATTCTTTTTTTCTTGCCATCTGCTATGGCAAAGGGACAAGTTCTAAACTTTGCTTTTGTGAAGAGGGTCACCACAAAGCCAGTGAGAGTTTTCTGAAATCACGCAGAAGCCTTAATGTTAGAACTGAAATACATAGACCCATAATGCCCATCTGTTGCCATTTCTTGCATTTGATTTAAGACTGCAAGAATGTTGTTTGCAACATCTGTTACAAATAAAAATAATAAATAATAGTAAAAATAATTAACGGAAATGCTGGGCCAAAGACAAAAGTTGTCGAGGTAAAAAAGAACAATTACTTTTTAGGATAACTGATATTTTAAAATGGATTTTGGATTTGACTCAGGCTGCACATAACAGTTGTAAGTAACCTTAATGAGGGCTTAAATTCTGCACTTCTGCTTTTTCCCCCCCCCCCCCTCCTTGAAAATGTTCTTTTTCTTGGAGAAATTCCTTTATTTACCTTACTTTTGTCATTTTTATTGTATGGCCTTGGTACTTCCCACATGACGTGTGTATGTGATAACTTTCACGTGTTTCTCTTCTTAAACTATCCCAACCAACACTAGCTGAAAGTTGGATTTTGCCCTGCACTAGGGGAAAGTTCTGAGTACTTGGAGTCAGCCTGACCCAGCCTTGATTTCTCATCCTAAATTGGACAGAAGTAAAATAGCAAATTATTCTGTCTTTTTAGAGCAAAAATCCCAATGAGACCAACTAAGCCTTGAAAAAGTGGGAGTTGCAGCACTCGGCTCTTAACGTGCCTCTGTTGTGTAAAGGTGTTTCGCTAATTAGGAAACACAGAAACAAACCCCACTTATTTATTTACCTCATCCATGATGCAGGCTCCATTTTCTCTGTGTTTCCTTGCCTTATGTCAGGCCTGTTGGCTTGTTTTACTGCAATTGTATTACTGATTTTCTGTCCGTCTCTCTTCCTGCCTCTGTTCCCCAGACTGGCAGATCGCGACTCTTGCTCTGCTGCTGGGCGGCGCTGCCATCATCCTCATCGCTTTCCTCGTGGGCTTGATCTCCATCTGCGTGGGCTCTCGGCGGCGCTTCTATAGACCAGTCGCGGTCATGCTCTTTGCTGCAGGTAAGCAGATTGCCAGCACGAGTATGAAAATTTCATGAGAGCAGCTTCACTTCTGCTCAGAAGGAAGATGTGCCTTGATCTGCATATTAATTCGAAGGTGTTTGGTTTAACTCTATCTTAAGTCCTAGGAGGCATTTGCCAGAATAATTTTGCAGTGCGTTTATCATTTTGGCAGCTACACTATTACAGTTCCTAAATGTAATGCAAACAAATAGTTGTTTTCTGTTTTGTGAAGTACGTACAGCAGGGAGAACCACAGCAGATAAATCTGTAGGTACTATTTTTAGAATCTGTGACTTTGTGCTGCTTGGTGTTCCCATTCTTTATGCAAAGCGCTTTCTGATACTTGGATATTCTTCATCTTAAAATTTTAAAACAGGAAAATTAATGCTGGAATGTGAACCCTTGAAGCCCTGTGTGTGAAAATAAATAGGATTATATCGGAAGGTGTTTGTATGTGCCCCTGTGCCACTGGAGGAATTAATTTCATTGTGTCAGCTTAGTTCTTGGTTATTAATTTAGCAGCTGTCACACTGGAGTCCCTGTTTGGTTTTAAAGGTATCAAAATGTAACGCTTTATATAGACTAACACAAAACCTTCAGGGAACTCTGTGAATCTGAAATATCCAGAAGCCTGGTCTTGTGAGGTATAATTACAATATCAAATCATCTCCTTTTGTACATCCTGGTGTTTGGGGGCTTAGTCAGCACAGGATGTTTCTCTTTCTCCTGAGATTGACTTGAGTATGTTTTGCCTTTAGCCTGTCAGTCATATCTATGTTGGAACCAGTAGCTTAAGCCCCTTCTGATAGCTCGTCATGAAGAGAATGACAGAATCTAGTCTTTTGGATGGATTAAAAAAGCCACTTACAAGGATATGAAAAGAATAAGAATTCAGAATTTGAAGGGTATTTGGAAAAGAAACAAAGCTTGGGAAAGTCTCCTGCTGCCCCCTACTGATTATGTTATTTTGATTGAACAGCAGTTTTCAAGAAATATTAGTAGATACTATTTAATTTGGTTTTAGAAAGTGAATACATTCTACGATTAAACAGAAATGGATCTTTTTTATCTAGGTGTCACACAGCTAAATTGGGTTAAATAAATAAAGGTAGTGGTGATATTATTTTAAAGTTTAATATTAATTCCAGAATTATAAAGTATGCCACGCAATTAACTTTGTAGGAAATGGGATTATTGAATTTCTGTACTGATTTCTTACTTGGTTTTAGACTCAATTTCTCATAACATTGTGTAGTAGTTTAGTAGTGCTCAGACATATACTGCTTTATCTTCTTATATCGCTTGATTAGCACACCATAGTTAGGTTTGTATTTAAAAAAAGAAAAAAAAAAAAAAGCTTTTTTTCCAAATCCTACTGGTGCCATTCAAAAAAAGTGGGCTTAATCTATTCTGCTGCGTGTACAATTAGTTCCAGTTACTACTTTCCTGCATTAAAAAGAAAAATATATTAGTAGCTGTAGTTCACAGATGATGTTTGTTTCTTTCCTTTACTTGTGTGTATCTGTGTGTATTTCAATAGTGAGACCTGAAACATGTTAGAGGGAGAGAGATGCTGAAGCAAAAAAGGCCTGTTCCCTTCCTTATCATTATTTGGGAAGTCTGAGGAAATCCTTTGGAGATTTAATGCTGATGTTGTCAGTGTAACTGCCTACAAATTTTTATCCCTGATTTCAGCTATTGCTAGAGGTGAATATGGACTGGCGTGTTTCAAAAAATATGGAAGGAATCCTCTCCTGAAGAGGGGAATGTCAAGGTTGTAGGACAGTGATGTCTGTGCCTTAGAATGGGTCTATAAATTCAAACCTTCACCTATGGATTTCACAGAAGGTTTTCAAGGTTAGAAAACACCTGTTCTGTTAATCTGCTGACATCACAAAATATGGATGCCTAGAGACATTAACAGTCTGGATGAGTGTAAGGTTACAGTGTAGGAGAAAGAAAAAAATGGAAAAGGGGTTTCCAGGCACTTGAGAGTCAGAACATTTGGCTTCAGGTATTTCTGTCCTTTTTTTTTTTTTTTTTTTAACCACCCTCCTCTGTCTGTACTTCAGGCTTCATTTAGGAAATCTGTATGTGGATGAGAAGGAAGGAAGAAGAATGGTTAGGGCTGGAAGAGATGAGAAAGGAAAGGGACAAAAAAGAGTAATTCAGCTGAGGTACTGAGAATAAGCCAGCAACTGATTGACAGGTATGAGTGTGTATAAATACATACTATCAACTCTGTGTAAAAGGATTACCTCCTGAGTTCTGTGCTATTAAATATTTCCATAATGACATGGTAGAATAAAAAGTGCACTTGCTAAATTTGCAGTTACAATGAAATTAGAAAGAATCCCACGATACACTGGGGGATGGAATCGAATTCTGAGACTGAAGTCTGAAAGAAAGCAGGATATCCTTCAATGGGAGGTAGTCAGGAAGGCAAGAACTGTAGCATCAAAGAAATTCCATCTAGTCCATCTCCTTTCTGAAGCAGGGACTATCACTAAATCAAGTCACTTGCAGCTTTATCTAAAGGAGCCTTGAAAAAATCCAGTGATGAAGAATCAACAGTCTCAGAGCATACTGTCCCAGTGCTATGCTGACCTCGCAATGACTTTTTTTTTCCTTCCAATGTCCTTAATTTCCAAGATTGATATGCAACCATTGCCCCAAAATACCTTAGATTGTCTGACACTAACAAGAAGAGTTTACTTCCTTACAGCTGCACTTGGAGGTAGCTGTAGGTTGCCCTGATGTTGCCTCTCAGCCTTCCTTACAGAAGACTAAATAAACATAGCTGCCTCATTCTGTTCTTACGGATCATGTGCTCCAGGCTTCTGATTATCGTGGCAGCTCTTGGACCTGTGTGCTTGGACTCCAAGAGGATGTGCTCTATCCTCTGTCTGGGGATTGAGATGAGGCTGGCCTACCTGTAGTTCTGTGGATTTTTCACTTCTAGCCTTTTTAAAGCCAGACCCAACATTAACCTCCTTTAATCAGCAGGGATATCTCCTAATCACTATGATATTTGTAGCTAATAGAGTCACAAAGGCCATCTTTTTCATCACCTTTGTGTGAATCCCATCTGCCCCATGTGTAGGAATATGACTCTAAGGCATTTCTTATTTCTTGTTTCCATGGATTAGTATTTTAAAAATCAGCCTGGACACCCTTCTTCTCTGTGCTTCCCAATCAACTTCACAGGCCTTATTAAGTACAAACACTTGCCTAGATAGCAGTTCTACAGAAAACCGTGTGGAGATGAGTCAGAATTTCTGCATGAATCAACATTGTGGTGAAGAAATCCTGCTCAGTTCAGTACTGATATGTCTTAACTGCAAAACTGTATGCTAACATGAACACTGTGCTTGAAGGTGGATGTGACCCAAGTGGAGACACTTTACTGGAGAGCATCAAGAATGGTCAGAAAAATGTAACCCAAGTAGAAAGTTAACGAAAAGAGAGGACAGCCAAGACACATGCCAACAGCCTTCAAGTGAATATGCTAAAGAGAAGAAAATAACTAGTTACTTATTTCCAAATCTGCCCTTAAGAGAAAATTTAGCTTAGATTTCTTTCTTAGAATATTTTTTTTTCTAATTTTATATTTTTAAAATAAAATTTGGAGGGTTTTTCTATGAATAAGAATAGGGTAGCAGTTGAAAAGACTTTTCAGATAGTTGGTAGTCTTTCATAGGGGAGATACTTGAAAGGAGATAAACCTACATGAGGAATAACATTAAGTGCAGCTGAATTTGTCTTAGGGAAGGGAGTCGACCATCTGATACTTAGAAGTCTTTTCTAGCCAAAGCAGTGGGTTTCAGTAGTATACTACTGTATTTCTCAACAACTTCTCTACAGATTGTTTTCTATTTATAATCTGTTTTGCATCTGTGTTAATCTTTGAAATTGCAACATTTATCAATTATTAATGAAGTGTGCTAAGTAGAACAGAAGGAATGATGCAGAGAACAGAAATACATAACTTACTAGCCAGCTCCTCTGTCTTCAGATAGACCAAATAAAAAGAAGCATTTTAAGGGGTAAATACAGCACACAGCTATGTTAAAAGACAGCAAGACTTTTACAATAAAACATTTGAGTGGCGGATGGGAAAGGTGACTTAAAATTACCTTCTCTCTGTTTTAAAGTTTGATTTGATTTTTGCATGCTTGATATGGTAAGTACATATGATTGTATGTGTTTTATGTAAATGGCGTAACACCTATGAAATTTAGTCATAAAAGTAGGCTTAAACTTGGAGTGAACAGTGTGGTTTGAGATGACTAGTCAGTCCTTTTTTTTTTTTCTTTTTTATTCAGTAGCAGTTTAAGTAGAGCTTTTTTTCAGATTTATTCTTTTTCCTACAAAAAAGAAAAATACTATTTCTGTAGAAAGGCAGTGTATACATACTCATTAACAGGTTGACATAGCATGGAATCACTTTAAATTCACTGGAAGCAGTTCATTTCAGCAAGCATTTGTTTTAATATCTCTTTAGCTCATCCTCATCACTTTTCATAACTTCAGCAGCTGTTGCCTCTAGCTTACACACTGGTGCTTCTCCATTTTACAAGGAGCAGCAAGAGCAGGAGACAAAAATAGTACAAAGTGACAGCAATGTTATGCGGGGTAGTTGTTTCAGCTACAGGTCAGTTCATACTAGCACTTTGAATTTTTCCATAGCATAGCCGGACCACTGGGAAAGCTCAGTATAATAGTATCTAGACAGTATCTGTTGTAGGCTTTGCTCCTTTACCCATAGGTTCCCCTTCCAACAAAATCAGTTGACTTTTTGTATTTTTTTCCTTCTTTTGCAACTCCAATCCATAGTTTAAAATACAGTTCACTTTGGATATTACACTGAGGGAAGGTGAAGAGCTTCCTCGGTTGGAAATCAACACCCTCTCACCTTCCTTCTCACCTATTTTTGTATAGACTGAACAGAGGTGCTGCAGCCTTAGTTCAGGAGGCCACTAGAAATTTGTTTATCTACATCTTGAAATTCTCATCGACTTTGGATGGTCTTAAAGATGTGTTTCCAAGCTGAATATATGTTCTGGTGTGGGTTATTGTGTGTGTGCATGTTTTTCTTTTTT